AGGACAGTCTTTGCCTACTGTGGCACAAAATTCAAAAACGCTATAACAGTTTTCTGGTCTATAATAGCAAAATTAAGTCGAAACGCCGAGACAGTCTTCGCCTACTGTGGCACCAAATCCAAACGCTGATACAGAGACTGGTTACCTCTGTAGAAGCACCAAGTCGAAACGCCAAGACAGCTGCTACTCGCTGGGCACTAAGTCGAAACGAGAGAGTTACTCACTAAAACTTGAGATGAAGACTCATTAAAAATGAACGAGAGAGTTACTCATTAAAACTACCTAAGTCGAAACTTTTTCTTTTTATCCCTAAAAGAGCCCGCTGGAGGATTGCTTTGCTTTCTAACATCTCTTTCTGTTATCAAAATGCTCTTTAGCACTAGGCGTCTAGTAAGCGATAGCTATCGCTTACCTAGACAAAGGCCGAAGCACCACAGACACACTTCAAGCACAAACTCGTATTTGTAAATAAATCTAGTTAGAACGGCCTCGGCCAAAGTCTTACATAGCCTCGAGCTCACTAGACTCTAATGGAACAATAATAATAATATGCTGTACGTAAACGAGATGTATGAAAAAAGGTATATCAAAGTACAACAACAATTCAGTTGACTATACGTAACACGAAATGGCCCCTCTATCCATATTTCTTAAAACAGCTTGATGTTGAAATGGAAGTTTAAGATAGTGTACAATTGCAGTTGCTGTCACTAGAACCGCGGGTTCTCATAAAGCTCAGGTGTCACGTAGACCTGAAGAGTCAAGCCACTATCATCTTCACTCTCCTTCCTGCCAAAGCCTAGGAAGGTAAAGATTCCTGGCTTCTCATCCAATCTCCGGTAGTCGCTATAATTAATTCAAGTCAGCCAAAAGGACAGCGGACGAGTTGGAAACAAGGTCTGATGACTTACAAGACATTTTGAACCTTTTGTTCGAGGGAACTACCGCCGTCATACCAGCCCCATTTCTTGAACCAGATATCGATACCTTGGGCAATCGCTTCGTCATTTGGCGCCTGGTAGGCAGGATAGAAGTAGAGCTTGGGGATTGGATATGGCTTATCAGGCGTGAGCGAGAAATAGAGAGAAGTTGGCTTCGTGCCAAAGATGGCTCGACGCTTCTTCTCTTGCTCGGATTCTTTCCTAATCTTCTCAGCTGAATACTCGGATCCACGCGAGAGTGCAATCAGTTCACGCATGATTTCTTTATCGTTTTCAATGTCAGCGATTGGAATGCGGCCTCCCAATGTATAGTAGTCCCAGATTTCATCAAACGAGTCGCCCCAGTAACGCAGGTACACCTTGAGACGTGCCTTTCCGGCAGGCACAAAATCAGTTGATAGTCCACGTCCGCAGTTTTCGTACTGCGGGTTATCGGCAACGAAATCTTCAATCATCTTAAGACCTAGCAGAATGTTCGGATGGCAGCCCACATCAGGCAGCTGTCGTACACCCAAGGCGAGAGACTGGAATCTCGAAAAACCTCGGTCTGCGGACACAAAACACGGAGGGAAGTAGCTCTTTACCATGACTGGAAGCATGTGGGGAGCCAATTTAGTAATCTTAGGGTTAATGTCGAAGCCTAGGATGGTTGGCGTTTGGTAGCCGACTTTGGCCACCAACTCTTTCTGCCTCTCGGATGATCGATTGGAGTAGGCAAACCACCGCTCGAGTGCTCGGTGCTGAATTGAAACATTAGCTCTTGACTCATAAAAGGATCATATCTTAAAGGCTGCTTACCCAATGATCATCATAGAGAGGACTCTTGGCGGATAAAACGTCAAGCACCTTTTCTACAGTCTCCAAACTCAATGGGTTTTCCAAGTTAGGAGGACGATATTCGCTAAGATCTAGCACAAATCGCACGCCTGTTTTCTTGGTCGACGCCTTAAACTCGAAACTGTATTCGAAAGGATTGCCATCCCAGCCGACTGCCGTTGGCCGAGAGTCAGGGCGAGGCTTGGTAGCAAGTAAAGGGCAAATGGTATTGCGGTAAAAAGTGAGAAATTGACTTTTGGTTTCATCTGGGTAGTCAGCCTCTTGCATCATGCGAGCAAGATCCTGTCCACTAGTGCGAAACCAGTACATTTCTCCGTCCACATCTTCGCAAATTGGGTTTTCTGCGATGGAGACTTCCACAGAATCCTTGAATGTAGGTTCGGGAGCCATTTGCATGCGCTGCACGTCAATCTCTGGAGCCATGGTGTAGGAACAGACGAAATCAAAGTCGACAGGAAACCAAAAAAAACAGGGGAAATCAAAGTTGGTACGAAACAAAAAGCTACCTGTCTCTTGCTTGTTCTTTTGTATATGGAATAAGATGATCTTATATTGGTGATAACCGTTGGGTGTCATGATACAGTATTGTATTAGGGGTAATACCTGGTATTACACGCAACTAGAGTAGAATCGCAGAATTGATTATCGAATTCGGAAACTAATCTACCGATATTTCCGGTAGGGTGTTTAGCCAATGCAAGCGTGAAGCTTCGTGTGATGGAGAATGTACATGCAGCTAGTGGAACTCCATTCTTTCCCAACCCGGTGCAATGCTTTTCTCATGGCTCCTAGAAGGTGGGGCGTACAGCGGGTTTTGGTATACATGAGTATGCTACTTTACCTTTGTGAATATAGTCATGGTCAGACCAATGCTTTCTCACTGCCTTACGTGTTAGAATACAGTTATTCAAACTCAGACAAATCTAAATACTTGAAGTTGAATATGTTTTGGAATGTTGAATTCGATGAGGTCTTTGCCTTGTTTTCGTCACGCATTACCCGGATCCATAGATTGTAAGGACTTACTCGGTACCAGCACCGAGTAAAAACATTCCTCGGAGTTGCTACTCATTCACTCAGCCACACCTTTTTCTCCAGCCTCATCATAGTTGCCTCAAATATTTTGATAATCAGATCATGAACTAGAGTTTTAAGCAAGATCCTGTTTTGTTGCACTAAATACACTATATACGCAGCCCTCATTCGAGGATATCGTTATCTGAACTAACTCCAATTACATCCACAAGACGACCACAAAGGCGACCGCTCCAATGCCTACAACAGGGGTGAATATCCCGGAATCAAACTGCACCGTTGATGTCCGCGTGATTGACACGTACGTTATCATTTCATCGGAGATACGAACTGTTCCACAATTCCACTAATGCATGTGACATGAGCAGCGGTACCTTGCTTCACCTCAACCCTGAGCTTTTCTGGCGGCCGAAAATCGATGGCTTCGAAGGTCTAGATGCGCCTATCTATTGTTTCCTGGTTTCAAATCCTCGCACTGGTCAGCATGTGCTGTTCGATCTCGGCGTTCGTCCGGACTGGCACAATTATGCGCCGAAAACGGCTGCACTGATCGAAGCTACCACCACTATAACACCAGGATCTGACGTGGCCGGAGTGCTAGATTCCGAAAATAGCGTGGGAATTCGTAGCACAGATATCCATGGCGTGATTTGGTCCCATAATCACTTTGATCACATCGGCGATATTACACGGTTTCCCTCAACAACCGAGCTGATTGTCGGTCCCGGAGTGCGGGAAACAACTTGGCCAGGATATCCAACATGTCCTACCGCAATCGTGCTAGATGCAGATGCAGAGGGAAGGGTCGTGCGTGAAATCGATTTTACGGATGCAAAAATCAAAGTAGGAAGGTTTGACGCCTTCGACTTTTTCGGAGACGGGTCGTTCTACCTCCTTGATGCGCCCGGTCATGCTGTTGGTCATCTTTGCGCTCTCGCAAGGACTGATGTAACTGGCGGCTCACATGACAAGATTGAATCATCATTTGTATTCATGGGCGCTGATGCATGCCATCACATGGGAGTTCTAAGACCAAGTGAGTATCATCCACTACCGTCCAATAACTCGCTACAAAATATCTTGTCTGCCGATGGGGCATTGTCTGGGTTCTGTCCGGGATTACTCGAGACGCATCTGAAGGGGAATCATGCAGCACCCTTTTTCGAGTTGAATGCTCCAGGGCCTATTTTCCCCGATGGACCACTATCATTTGCCACTGTCCACAAGATACAAGAGCTCGACGCTTTAGACAACGTGCTCATCATTTTGGCTCATGATTTGTCTCTACAAACGCAAATACCGCTTTTCCCTCAGAAGATAAATGGTTGGAAGGGTTCAAGTTTGAAGGCAGACTCGCGTTGGCTTTTTTGTAAAGATTTTCTCTAGTAGCTTGCATCAATCTTAGAGCAAATAGAGCATACTTGGAGTCACCGAGTTTCTTAATGTCCCTGCAGCGCATTTATCTGTAGTAATAGTCTTGATACAATTTTTTTTTAGCTATCTACATAAAATTGGCTGTTAGTAGAGATAGATATTCCTCATCTCAATACTCAATGAACCCTTTCTTTCATAAATTAGCAAGTATTTGGGGTCTGAAGTTTGTATAACTATTGGAAAGAAAAGTGTTATCTTGATATTACATATATAAATTGAATTATGCGAGAAAAAAGCGACATGATGGACATCACATATTGCAGAGATAGATAACTAGAGTTCTACTATCAATATCCTACATTGTTTCATGCAAATATATTTATATACAGATTATATATGAAATCTATAAGACTATTCTACCTATAGAATATAATCTATCTTACTATAGTTGTAGTGTATGATACACATAACGAAGTCTCGGGTAGTATGTGTATAGTAGCTACAGGAGATAAGAAAATCAATACCTCCAACTCCAACAGCCCTACAGCAGCCACTATTCCATCTAATTTCCGGCCTACCTACCAATTGCGGATAAAAGCCCGTTCCCTGACTTCTTTCGTGCTACAGTATTCTACTGCTGACACACTATAAAGCGAGGACTATTTTATCTATATAAAATCTATCCATCCTATCTTTTCACTGTACCTTAGTTCTTCTTCAACTTATTTTGTTTTTCAATATGGTAATAGACAAAGGCATAACTAACATCCAGAACCTCGGAGGCAAAGAAAAAGAATACGACTATTGGTTCGGCAACTCTTGGGTAGCTCTGTGGATAGAAGTAATAGCGCCAGGCAAACAGCACGATGGAAAGAAAAGTGCCAAAAGTTCTATAAAACCTGCATCATGTCAATCGGATGATCATCCAGTTTATCTGCATTGAACTTGATTTGAACGTACCAGATCCCCCAGGAATGGCCAGCGGTACTACCACGACGCAAGATTTGTACAAGAGATGTACAACTGATAAGGAACTGATCTGAGTACCCCAGATAAAACGAGGCAGGATCAATACCAACGGTCTTGATAAATGCCCAAAAAGCGCCCGTGGTTATAGCAATACCTAGTAGCAAGATCCAACGGAGATTTCGGGCTACAAGCGGCGAGTTCTTCCACTCTTCGGGGCCGAACTTCCAAGTGGTGTAAATGATTCCCACATCGATTGCAAGCCAGGGTACAAAAGCCACAACTTGAGCCGCTGACGTTGGCATCACAACGCCAAAGAGTAACTCCCAGGCTACATTTCCGCATCTGGTACATAAAATCAGAAATCGGGTTGTGATATTATATACCTCATTGTGAAAAGCAGGGGCGTCTCTTACAGCGCGAAAAGTGGCATGCCATAGGACTTGTCCCGAAGGCCTTGGCGGATGTACAGAATATACGCTATTGTCCAAGAAATAGATACGGACAAGATTAAACCATCCTGGACTTGTAGAAAGTATAAGGGAGGCTGGTTGACCTGGTCGATCTTATTAAGAGGAAGATGAAAACCCATCGTTATTTTACTTTGTAGATGAAAGATGCTAATGATACTAAAGGTTGTTTTTGCAAAGGCTATGGTAATTCATAAGGCATTGTTTTTTTATACTTAATTAAAAGGCAATGACGGTTGCATGAGGATAAATTTGTTGTTCTGCCTATATGATTAGGGAATGTAGTGTGGTCCCGCTACTTACTACTCGGAGTTCGTGTTCCCGACTTGCGTTTAATCAGGCATGGCGTTCATGGACGATTTTAGTCGTGAAAAATAAAGACATGATTACAGCTGTCGTTATGTTGGGGTCACGAGATGTTTGTTAAATCGATTGTTTGCGGTTCTAGGTATGACTCTAACTTCTTGGTGGACCCTGTTTACTTTTTCGGCATTACTTAGGGTGCGGACCCTCTACGACAATTTAAACTCAAATACCCCATAAATCATTTGAGTGTTTCATAGAAAATACAACCCAGTACTATACGATTTCGTCACTACGAGCGAAAACAATGAGTTTTACTGAGAATAGTTAGTTGGGAATAATCAAAGATGTTTATGGTGTACTCTGTATGGCATTTGAACTTTTCATCGTGTAAAAACTTATTTAAGCTACATATAGAATTTCATCCATCTGCTTTACTTACAAAACGGACCTGTCTCGGTACACGTGCCAGCGGCATGTCAGTAATTAGTCGTTTGGTATTGCTCGCTGCTGATCGAGGCGTGAGCGGATGCACGGCTGCGATAACATTTTTTTTCCTTGTTGCAATTTTTTGGTTTGTTTTGAGGCGGAGCACTCTGAATACATCCGAATTTCCATATCTTGGACAAGAGTATGGAAATGTAGCGCAAAAACGCCAATTTTTTATGGCCAATGCGTTGAAGATTTTCCGAGATGGATATTCCAAGGTGATACCTTCAATTCATTCAAATTTGGGTTAGCCTTCGATTCTAATTTTGGCAATAGTTCCAGGACTCTATCTGGCATACAGTCTCAGTTGATGGTGAGAGTTCTTCAATTGATTAGCAGTCGCCGAGTGCATTCGCCTTGCCAGGTATTGAGTCGTTTTATCTAGGTGATTTGCTCGTTGTCCCTTTAAAATACGCCGACGAACTGCGCAAACAGCCCGAGCACGTTCTTAGCAGAAATGCGGCCAACAACAAGGTCAGAATTTGTTAAGCCCCCAGAGGCCGATGCAGCAGTTTGAGCTGATACATAAACAATATAGACGTTTGAGACAAAGCTTTTAGGCATCACATTTGCTACGCCTCTGATGGTTCACGTTGTTAAAGCGGACCTCACACACAACATGTCTCACCTGAATGGCCCATTGTTCTCAGAAGCGCAAAAGGCCATCCACGAGGCATTGGGTGAGAGTTCAGAGTTCAATGAGGTCAATATACACGCGAAGCTCTTGCGCGTCGTTGCCATTGTTTCTGGGCTTGCATTTGTTGGGCCAGATATCTGCCGCGAAGAAGAGTATCTCACCAACAGTATCATGTTCACCGTCGACCTGTTTTCTGCGGTTGCGGCATTGAAAAGTTGGCCAAATTTTGGCCCTGTACGCCGAATTGCGAGTTTTTTCATTCCCCAAATGAAAAGGCTGAAGGAGCATAGAAAACGATCGATTGCCTACCTAGTGTCGGTAGTCCGCAAGCGGCGCGCCGCCACGAGTACTATGCCGAAAGAAAAAAGACCGAAAGACATGCTTCAATGGCTTATAGAAAAAGCAGGAAACTTTCATGTCAAGGATGACGAGGATATCGCAATGGTCTTAATCTTGTTGGGCGTTGCTGCAATTCATACGACGACCATGGCCATGACACAGACGTAAGCTCACAAGTTCATTTGTCACGCGTGTGTAATCCGTGAGCTAAGAAGGAGTAAACAGAATCTTCGATCTTATTGGATACTGTCCCGGAGTGATTGATCTACTCCGTGACGAAATTCAATCTGTCCACGCTGCACATCACGGAATCATCAATACCGAAGCGCTGTACCAGATGAAACTTCTTGATTCCGTTATGCGGGAATCACAGCGCATCAACCCGACCAATGTAATGCGAATGCAGCGATGTGTTTTACAATCATTCCATCTATCTGATGGTACCAAAATTCCGGCCAATTTCGACATCGCCGTGCCCGCCCTTCCAGTCAACTTGGACGAGTCTAAGTACCCAAAGCCAGATCAATTCGATCCTTATCGTTTCGTCAATCTAAGATCTGGCGTCAAGAACGATCCTATCGGCTATGCTAGTCGTGAACAGTACCAGTTCATTAGTGTAACCAAGGAGAACATGGCATTTGGTTTTGGACAGTCAGCCTGCCCTGGGCGCTTCTTTGCTGCCAATGAAATGAAACTGCTCTTTGTGCGATTACTAATGGACTATGATATCAAGATGCCCGAGAACATCGAGGGTAGATATCCAAACATTATTCGTGGAACGTCGATTACAGCTAATGCGTCCAAGCCAATTTTACTGCGAAGGCGAAAATATGGTCTTTAGTATATAGGAAGACAGACTAGATCTACATAATTCATCGTTTTTGTACCCTCGTTTTTACTTAATATCGGGATATATCTACTCTACCTTCTGCATGGTGCAGAAGGTTAGCCTTTTTGCACCATACTTAATATTCTAATCATGATATGTTAACCTGATAGGTTATAGGACCTTGTCAAAAGATTTTGATATATTATTAATATGTAATCCAGAATTCGATTCGTCTATAAAGACGAAAGCAGACCATTAGAGACAAACAAAAATATAGAACATAGAAAAAGGTAACAAGTAAATAGAAAGCAATATATATTGAAGGGTAAGCTTCAAAGTATGAAGTAGAGAAAAGTAAACAGCTCATCGGAGGCTTGCTACTGATGCTAACATGATTTAAATGTTTACCAAAATCCTTAGCCTGTGAATTTAGCAGATCCATGCATGGGCCGGGAATGTGCTATTTGTGAGCTGATGATTGGCCCACCATGGACGTTGGAGGTTCTGAGTATACAATCAATCTGCTTGATTTCAGTACTGAGTATTCTTGATATCATCAGCAAGCTTCTCTGCCAAGGTATCTGTCGCTTGCCGTTAGTGCTGCTTCTTGAATAAAGAATGCTTTGAAAGCGCGCACACTTACAAACCTGTATCTGAGGCGCGGGGCCAGGTGGAAGAAACGGAAAGGATGAAGAATCTATCACTCTAACTGTACGTTGATTAGGATTTTTGCAGACATGAAGCGCGTGAATGCGTAACAAGAGAAAGGTTGACTTACGCCTGGATACTCCGACGACTCTTCCACGACTGTCTACCACGGCGTTTGGATCAGACCCGTTGCCCATTCGGTTGGTAGCGAATGCATGATAGAGAGGACTGCTGGATCTCGCAATGTATGCACGTATATCCTCGTCCGTTTCAACAGAAGGGCCAGGGAAAACTTCGCCGCCCTTCAGAACGGGCGCCATGGCAGAACTGTTCAGCACCTCACGAACGCGCTTGAAGCCAGCAACCAGAACATCGATATCAGAATTCTCTGTCAACCAGTTGGGATTAATGATTGGTGCATCACTCATCTCAGATGACTGAATGGTGACTGTGCCACGGGAATGAGGCGCCACCAGTGTTGCTTGAAGTGTCGCAAAGTTCTTACCACTGGCTCCATTTGCGGCAGAAACACCACCTGGAAAGACGTTGAAAAGAATCTCAGGCCAATCATCAGGGTAAGAAGAAAGATCTGTAATGTGAGTTAGCCGTGGATGATTCTGAATCAATGGGAACAATTTGCATAATGCATAAAAAGAAAGATACTTACACTCTTTTGTCTCAGCTGCGAATCCTTTTCGTAGCTGAGCGGGTATCTTTTCGCCACCGACAAGATCACCACCAGGACTTGATAGAGGACCCGAAGCGTTTTCGTTAAACTCTTTTATGGCGTCGTTAAGATACTCTGCGTTGCTCAAAGCAGTACTGGTCAAGACATCTACCTCGTATGAGGCAAAGATCGTCATATGATCTCTCATGCCTTGACCGACGCCAGGCACATCGGCAACGACTTTGATACCATTCTTTTCCAAGAGGTCTTTGGGCCCCACCCCTGAAACCTGTAAGAGCTGGGGTGACTGGAAAACACCGGCCGAAAGGATAACTTCCTTGGAAGCGAGTGCAGTTCCAATGCAACCCATAGCTGTGGAGGTAAATGCAACCCCCTTTGCGATCTTGTTTTCAAAAATGATACGTTCGGCCATAGTAAATTGAAAGACCGACAAGTTTGGCCGACTCATAACAGGCCGGAGGTAGGCAGTGTCGGAGTCGGAACGGTGGCTATCGGATGCTCTGATCGTGCTGAGCTGCCAGGTGTGCCCTAAGAGATTTCCATTAATGAAAGCTCCAACCTCAGGCACACCAATTGCTGCCAAGCCTTTCGAGACCCACGTGCTCCAGGACTGCGTGTAGGCAGGATATGTTACCTGAAGTTCACCTCCGGTACTCATATCAGCAGGGTTGTATTCAACAGTCGCATTCTCCAGCCGTGTTGCATGTGGCTGCATGGTGTAGTTCAACGTCTTTTTGTAGTATTGAAGCATGTTTTCGTACGTGTAGGATTGGTCGTTGACAGCGTACGCCCAGGCTTGATGAGCCCCCTTAGCAGTTTGTGCGTAAGCCATATAGTTGATGGCACTGCTTCCGCCCAACTATACGAATCGGAAGTCAATCATCTATCGCATTAATTCGTCTGGTTGAGTGATGGAGCTTACCGCTTTGCCTCTGAAATATTGATGCGTGTCGTTGTTGAGCCCCTTGCATATATTAATAAACTCTTTTTCAACAGGTGTGTCTATGTGTCTGTGACTTACAGGTTGAGGCGTTGTGGAGAAATTCCAGGACATCGCAGGCGCGCCCCCATTGAATTTGCTGGCATAAGCTGGGACTTGCGACCAGTTCCCCGAGATTTCTTCAGCATGTGTGCCTGCTTCCAAGACAACAACAGTAGTGTTTGCATTTTCGGTCAGCCTGTTGGCCAATACTAAACCAGCCACTCCACCACCAACGATGATGTAATCGAATGTGCGTCCATTGATAGACTCCGGACAGAGTACCGGTTCAGCAGGCGCTAAAGTCGCTGAAACAAGGCCGTCTCGAGATAGAAGCAGTGTAAAGCTCACTAGCAACCTATGACATGAACTATGGCGCATATTGATAGAGACGACACGCCTTTACAACAAAGATAATGGTAGAATCAATATGGAAAAAACTGGTAAGATCGTTGGGCCATGTAGTATATAGCGGGTGAGCTGGTAGGTGCATAATATGAATAATTTCCCCTAACGGTCCTTTCTTGCTGCGGCCTGGTTGGTGCAGAGTATCCCTGCATCTTTTTCGGCACCTTAGCGGGAATACTAACTTCCATCAAAAGCTCTTACTCTTAAGGACTTGAATTCTTGAAAACTAGGGTTTTAAATCGAATCCTCATTTACTTTCATATCACTAAACATACGCTATATTTTATTTCACGTAACACTAGATCGAGAGACCTTATTCAACACGGTAATATGTAGTTACACTAGGTAGAGCAATAGAATAATAAGATAGAAAAGTACTACTAATAATAAGTGTTTCACTTGATTATTCGAATGATCTACAAAGTACTTAGAAGAATTAGATGCATGCATACGATAACTATTGCTTAAGTAAAGTAAACATACTTGGTGTTAACCAGTGCAGATCTGTAGAAGGAGTAGACTTGTCAGCTGTACCTATAGTACTCTGCTATTAAGTTGATTTAGAATTTTATTCGTATCAATTTATATACTAAGTACTTAGACATACTAGTAATGAATGCTTTTAATACTAAGTATAGAATTATGAAAAATAAATTAAGTAATAAATCTAGAAAGTATCAAGCAAAATAACAGGAGAGTTTATTAATAGGAGTTGTGTGATAGATCGTATTCAATCACATGGAAGAATACATATACAACAATGGGTCTCAAAATTACGTATTATGGAGTAAAGATAACGATAGTTATATCTGAGGCTTGTTCTAGGTATGAAAGCTATATTGATAAGAGTGAAAGTATCATGTTCATGTCCTAAATATCTAGTTCTGCTTCAATAATACGCTGGACAGCCAGTGGTGAGGACCAGATCTTCAAAATCCTATAACCTGCCGACTTCAGTAATTCTTGCCAGTGTGACTCTGTACGTTCTTCGCCAGCTACCATGACCATCATAGTCAAATCATATGCAGTAGTTTGAGGATGAGCAATAGCTTCAGGAGTGATGTGATCATGAATGAGGAGTTTACTATATCCTGGAGTCAAAGCATCTCGATGCATCTCTAGAATTTTACGTGCTGGTTCATCCGACCAATCATGCAAAACACCATGCATATAGTAAGCTCGGGCACCTATAAATGATATGCCTCAGTTAGTGACTGAAGAATCCAGATACTCGTCTGGTGATTGGTAATTTACGAACCCTTGATTGGCTGGGGTGTGAAGAAGTCGTACTCGATCTTGTTCACAGGGTCCGGGACTTGGGAAAGCTTTACGACCGCAGGAAGATCCTCGAGGAAGAGACGAGACGCCGTTTCCGGGTGTGCCTTGCGGAATCTTTCAATGTCGTGGCCAATGCTTCCCCCCACATCTACTAGAAGTGGACCTTCCGCATTGGCAGCTGCAAGAAGCGTGTCGTGAGGGAAGATATCTAGCCAACTGGCTTGCGTCGCCATGACACCTCCCATGACCTGATTGAATGATTCGCCTTCAATACGATTCTCCTGGTAAAATCTGAACATATCCATGCCCCTGCAGTCTTTGGCGTATTGAAAGATACCATCGGCAGCGTCCACTGGATTTCGGTACTTCGTTTGCGCTAGGAAGCGGGGCATTTTGAAGAAACAGGGAAGAGTGGCGTCGTATCTTAAGATTTGGGAGTTTTTTTGTTAGTATAAGTAATCCGGCGGCCGAGGGATAGCAATGAGATTGTAACTTACAGATGATTGATCCATTCTCCAAAGACTGGCTTATTAAAGGAAATCGAAAGAGCCGTCGGTTTGAAAACGCCTAGCTGTGGCTCGTCAAGAACGTGATTAGCTGCAAGATGCCGGAGCATTCGAACTAAGATGTGCATAGTCTGTTAGTATGGAAAATACCTATGAAGATGTCTCATGATCCGATCCAATGGTTTTAGACGTATCACATGTTTTTATGTGGCTGAGCTCACCTAGTAACTTGATTTCGACTTCTGGTATCATTTCGTGGATCTCCTGAACGGTCATCGGTCCATCACCGGCTGCATGCCACTTTTGGTAAAGTTGTACGTCCATGGCAACTTTGAGCACGGCACCAAGAGCAGGCTGAGAGAAAAAATTTAGGACGGCAAGGGTTGGAAAAATCCTTCAGAATGCTCACCTGACCCATGACAGTCCTCAAAACAAAGTCCCATGGCGTCTCAAGGCGAGCCACCAAAGCATAAGCTGCAGTGACTGCTTCTATGCGCTGAACGTCATCTGAAAATGAGCTTGTATTAATTCCATTTAGCAATGGGATGATTTCTTGTTGCTTTGTTTGAATGTCGGTTTTGACCCCATTGCCGAGGATTGCCATTTTGCGCTTGGATGCGTGGACGTAAATGTTGATCACAGGCGAAACTGAGAAAATAGTCTTCAAATGAAAACAGAGAAATGTGCACACTGTTGAAATTGAAATGGTATGCGATTCCATTTTAGTAAAGCAAGTTGAGTTATACTCCAAAAGCGAGCCCAATGAGTATGCCCACTGATCACCGAGTAACCCCACTGGACACCGAGTATGATGCTGACTCGTTGCTGACACTAGCTTGCACGTCCGCCTTTTTCCAGAAACACGAGAAACTATAAACGCGTTTTCAAGGCAAATTGTCGCGAACATGGAGTGTGGGAAAGACTGTAAGTTCGGATTCATTGATGCGACCATTCAGCGTCGGTACATAGCAGCTTCTTTTAGCTAGATCTTAACCTCGTTAGTGTCATGATTGCATCAAAGTGACAGTTTCATATCTCTAAAGCGTTCGATATCTTTTGCAAAACCATTCTGCATCACCTCATTGCCTGACGCCCTATGATGTTTGCAATCATCATATTCCTTGTTCTATCTATACTAGCCCTGATCATCTATCGGCTATGCTTCCACCCACTCAGGCATATCCCCGGGCCTTGGTTTGCCGCCTTTTCTTCAGTATTCCTGTATCTGATATGCTATATCGGCATTGAAGGTCGCATCACAAGATACTATCATAACAAATTCCAAACCCGGGTATTGCGTATTGGCCCCAACGCTCTGTCCATCTCTGACGGCAGCGCGATCCGCGCCATCTACGTGTCATCTGGCGGATTTCCCAAAGATGTCAGATACAAAAACTTCAATTTGGGTCCAATCGAGACGATATTCTCTACCATCGATACATCCTATCGGGATGTGCGCGCGAAAGCGGTTTCCCCTCTTTTCTCACCTGCAGAGATTAGAGGCGAAAGTCAACCCGAAGGCTCCATCGGGCGTCATGTACAAGAATTTGTTACCCAGCTCAAAGAACTCCACCATGCAAAGATCAGAACAGATCTACTGGACCTTTGCGCAAAGCTATCTATCGACGTCGTATCTAATTATCTGCTCGGCCTACCGTACGGCGGTTTAACTGAGCACGCCCATTTGAGCCTGACAGATCGACAGACGGACGAAGCAAAGCTAAGCGCAAATGCCTTTGTTCACGCCATCGTAGGCTTTGCTCGCTTCTCTTTATTGCCCAATTGGATTTTCAAAAATGTCTATTCCATATCACAGCGCCTTGCTCGAGACGAGAAAGTCGACAAATCGTTTGCAAAGATTGCGGAGTTTATCGATAGAGTCATGGCCAAGACGAAAACATCTTATAGCGCAGGCACTTTACAAAGAAAAAGGTTCCTCTATCAGGACCGTTTGCTCGCAGCTGGAGTCTCATTCACGGAAACAGCAGCCCAAAGCAAAGCTATCTTATTCGCAGGTGCTGACTCCACCGCCGTTGCATTGGCTACCACTCTATTCCATCTTACCAAAAATGAAAATGCGCGCCATCGCCTGTTATGCGAAGTTCGTTCAGCTACCTCAAGCAATAACAAGGAGCAGAATGAGCTTAGTTTCTTACGGGCATGCATTAAAGAAGGTCTGAGACTCTGCATGGCCAATCCGACTAGACTCACACGCATTGTGCCCAACACAGCGACGCTTGTAGTTGATGGTTTTCAAATACCTGCTGGTTCTGTAGTGGGCTGTGCAGCTTCTGTTCTACATTACGATCCCGATATTTTCCCGCATCCGTTTGAATTCAGACCGGAAAGATGGATGAAGGAAGACTCCAGCGATGGACTTCGTCGTCCAGACATGGATAAAAATTTGATGGCTTTCGGGCAAGGTCTCAGGGCTTGTCTTGGAAAGAATCTAGCCCTTCATCAGCTCCACCTAGCCGTCGCGGCTGTTATTGACGCCGAGATTCTTGAACATGCAAAGCCCAAGCAAGATCAGATAGAAGTTACTGAATGGTTTAACGGAGACATCATAGGTCATAAAATTGAGATAGAGTGGTAAAAATCTCGGTAAGTCTTTTGAGCCAATGTATGGATATAATAAAAGAATGTATATGAGTATAGATCTCTACTTGAAGGGAATGTTATATCTCCCAGGTCAGTGACACATGGGGTGTAGGATTTCGAGTTTCTCAATCCTTTACATGTTACACTGTTTGCGGTGTAAAGTGTCAAATAGCGGATTATGTCAGGAATAAGATTGAGATAAGGTAACAAGCCGCACAGCTTGATATCCGCCCTGCGGGGAGAATCAAATTCACTGAAATGCAGTGTGTCATTCAGATGAATTCGTCTCCATTCAGCTTTGCCACGTGTCATCGAGTACTTTTGGGTAGTAGTCATGACGTGGTTTCAACTACAGCACACGTGTGCTGTTTTTATTTTATCATTGGTATTGAAAGATACTATAAACAAAAGACGCTTCGGGGTCAATGCGCTCCAGAGCTGGTCGGGTTATGTAGATGACTGGTTGCTAATAATTTCAGTATATTGTGTCAAAGTCGCGTATTTCATGTCAACTAAATAATCTTTGCCCACCCGCCTAAAACCTCTTATATGCATCTTGTATCCTACATAGAAACTGTTAGTAATTGGTTAGGGTTCATTGAATGTTCCATTCAATGCGCACCAAAAAGTGTATCTAGTGCACGGCTTTTAAGATTCATGCTTCAAGTTTGTCAGACTCATTTAGGAATTTTCCATTCTTGCTGCCTATGCTTAATTCATAATCCAAGTGGTCAGGATGACCTAGCATTTTGTGGTTAATTTTGTTCTAACCATGTAATTATATCTTTCGGTGTTTTCTTTAAATGAAATGTTTAAGAGAATATACACCGAGATAAACGCATCATTATAAGCTGACTCTTGGCTTGAACTGGGAGATGAGCGTCGTGACCATGAAGTCTTTTTTATAATTATCTGTCACAATGGTATTATGGAGGAAGATAAATTGCTATTGTTATAGTTCATCTATTACTAAAATAGGATTGTTTGATTGCGTCAACAATACGTGTTCTTCTGAAGTGCATTGGACAAAACAAAACTGACGACTTAGTGTCACCACACGGAATCACAGAGCAGATTCAAATTGCATAGTCCTATTTGATAACCATTGATTGCATTAAAGAACGTCCACACTATCGCGCTCAATAATGTCTTTGGTTCTTAACTGGTAAATGTATTCAGTGCCTCCTATCCAGGATCGCGGTCTGGTTTCGGAGATACGGATACTTCGTTGTTGGGTATGATGATGTTTTGCCGGATGGCAAACAACAATTGAAACTTCTCAGGGTTTGACAAGATGCTGATTGTCCGTGTCACCAAGTAATTTCTGAGTCGTGTCTTGGGAATGATACCCACTTTTCTTTATCTCTACAAATCTTTTTCCGAGGTTGATCAATTCATGAGAGGGTGTGTGGATCGATTTACTCGGCTCCCCTACCTCCACTTGGCAGTCCATTCATGTAGTTACGTAAATGTATCTGCGTTCTAATAGTATTTCGACACTATGAACTTTGTAGATTAGGTTTTGTTGCTGGTTGGCTTGGTTGTGAGCGTGATGTATATTAAACATGAACTCAAGAACCACTTGGTGCTCCTAAGCCTGTGTCTCACATGAATTAGGCCACGCCAGATGTTTTCGATATGAGCTCGCTGGCATAGGTCCCGCCATGAATATTCATCTCTGAGTACCTCTAGAATACTCTTTGCGTTCATGAAAATGCCTGCGCTTGGTTCTGGTGTGCAGTTTTTTGTACCTCTTAGAAGCCATGTGATTTTCACATCCATAATATGGTCTACCCTACGGAGTGCTTCTAAGTAAAAGAAGTATATAATGTCATCTACGATTACGATGTTCGATATTACTTCTCTATAGCAAGGGGATTGAGGATTTAGACTTAAGTATGTAGCGATAGTGGCATGCAAAACATTGTGCGTTGCAACAATCATAATTAGTAAGTATGCTGCATCATTGCGCAGATTTATGAATGGTCTCAGTGGCTTAAAATAACATCTATGGTAGCTTATTTGGATAGATACCTAAGAAATTTGATAAAAACAGCAATTCAATTAACTAGTTATTCAATTATATTTACTTTTATGAAAGATTCGATGCTTACAAGAGTCAAAAGCGGAGGCACGAAGATTTGAAAGGCTAACATCAACTATGTGTTGGAGATGAGCTCGAAGAAGTGCTTTTGACCCAAACATCTACATCATAGCTATTTTAGGAAAAGGGGCATGAGGACTAAGTTAAACCAGTACATCGTTTATAATCATGTTCCGCGCTCTGCCTTTCTCTATATCGCGGTTCAAAGCATTTTTCCTACCTATATTGTGCGCTGTGACATCCTATCATAGCCACGATACATGCATTTGTACAGTTATAAACACAAATTTCAAGCAGGTAATGGTAGAAAAGTGCTCTGTTGAGAACTACAGGGATTCTATCACGAAACGTTTTCGCAGGTACTCGCCACGCTTCATGATTACAATGATCAGAGGCATGAAAAGTAAAGCAATGAAACCCAATAAAGTATTTCCCCATCCCATTCCAAGATCATCATACATTCTCAGACCTGAGAGAGGTAAAAATGCTCCAACTAACGACCGCAGCACTACATTCGCCGCCAGAGCCGATGCTGCGTACACGTGGTAGGTATCAACCAGATACATTTGAACAGATGTGTTAATGAAAACGCTGCCACAGCCAATCAATCCCATGGCCGTAATAGGAACAACCCAGTGAATATGGTATTGGACAGTCCAACCATAGATAATGAGACCAATAGGAATGAGGATCCCGCCGATTGGTAGTGTCATTAGTCGGTATTCTGGCTTCATGCCTTCTCTGGCTTGACCAATGCTGTTAGCTGCAGCATCAGCTTTGGCGGTTTTCCAGGCCATGTAGCGGTCAGATGTAAGACGGAATATGCCCACACCAATCAATGAACCCAAACCGACCCCTAGGAAGGCCAGCCCACTTGCTGTTGTACTGAAATTGTAGTAATTTTGGAAAATCTGCGCCAAAGACGCGAACATGAGAAAGAGGTATCCGTACGTAATGGCAACATAAATGGCCATGAAGGTGACTATCGGCGCATAGAACAATATTTTGAGGGGGCGCATGATGCTGCGTTTGAGAATTTGAGTCAGGGAGAGACCTGAGTAGAATTTAGACCGTAAGAGTTGGTTACCGGATGTTTTGCGGAGCCGGGCTGTCTTGCGCTCCAGGATTACGGGATGGTAAGATTCTTTCATGACCAGCATCATGATAATCGACAGGAGGCCGCTAGCGATGGCTTCAAGCCAAAATGTCCAGCGCCAGCCTTTCGCAGTGGTGAGGATTCCGCCAATGATAGGACCGGTAATTGGTCCCAACAAAGGACCAACAGAAAAGACTGCCATGGTGCTAGCACGACTTTCCTGAGGAACCATGTCGGCAATGGTGCCGCCTCCGTTGACCGTACACACGGATCCAAACGCCCCGCTGAGGAATCGAAATGCAATCAGACACTGAACATTAGGTGACAATGCGCATCCAACAACTGAGAGGAAAAAGATTGTGTTGCAGACGTGGTAGATTTTGACGCGACCAAACACTTCAGAAACGGGTGCTACAACGAGGGGACCTAAAGCTAGGCCCAAGTTGTAGATAGATACGACGAAGGCTTCAATTGCAGAGTTGTGATTATGGAATTCTCGCATAAGTTCGGGTACGCCCGGTGCAAATAGCGCTGTTGGCTCCATAAATTAGCGTTCTGATCACTTATGACGCATATGAGCATTTGCGGAATTGTGCTTGCTCACTTGTCACTAGAGGAATAATAAAGCTTGCGCAAGTGACCAATCCACAGTTGAGCCTGATTTGCCACTTCGGCCAATTATATGGATGTTCTGGGTCGTTTTCACCATCCCAAGACACGATGTTGGAACTTTGACCAGTGGACAGCGTGTGGTTGTTCTCGATGATGCTATCGGAGGAAGCATTGGTGATAGAAACTTCGACGCTCGATGTGCTTGTGCCGACTCGGGAATCGCTCTTCGAATGGGACACTTGCAATTCCTAAAATACTTAGTACAAAACTAGCTCAAGTCATCTCCATTTAGGGTTGCCAACCATGTTGTTTTAGCAAAATAAACTCTGCAAGATAAGAGATGGATAATAGTCTTGATAAGAATAGGACTTCGTTCCTAGGGTTTAAGGTAGGGTAATTTATGCTTCAATGAAAGTATTGGGTGATAACAGATACACTATCACAGTGGCAGTGCAGGGCAAGTGTAGGGAGTCGTCGCGCAATCCCTGAATTAGATGCTTAGTAAGTGGCTCACCTACCTCGAAGTGATCTTGTGAAAGATCAACTTATTCGATCTACCTAGTACTAGAACATCATCTTTTAGGCTCCAAGTAATAAAATATACAGACTCAATTCTGACCAATATTTGAACATATCTGTTAAGCAGAAAAAGCGAATTTATTCAACGGTAAAATAAAAATAGACAACATCTACCTGGATCTGGCTTGGGGAATAAGAGGGACCGGTTGGAGAATAAACAGAACGCCAAGTACTCAGGGTAGAGTTCACTTGGGATCGCGGGTTAATTTGGATAGAGAGATGAAGGAGAGTGCATAAAATAATGAATTCATCCGCTCTGCATGGCCATAGCCACCTCGGAGTAGTCTATCATCTACTTTATGCTAAGCAAGTCATTGTATTCAACTGAACTTAACAGAATATTTTCCAACATTATACCCGTTGGAAATGAATATTAATATCTGTACCAAGACTGGAGAGATTTGTCATGATGGATTGCAACTGAGGTTGGTCGCATGTCATGTTAATAGCTACGTTGAATCGCACCGCAAATGGCCATGAGGTTTGTAGTGTAGAGTAAGGCGATGTGTCTTCTATTACACTTGTTTCCAAACTTGGGAACCCAGGGTCAGGCATAAGCCTACTGTCGGCAACATCAACAGATGGCATTGTTACAGCTGCTGATGAAGGGGTATCTGCAGCGAGCGTCTTTGGTGGCAATCCTCTTATAGTTCCCTCTTTCGATGAACCGTCTGCATCTAAACTTCTCGTTGAACTTATTGGCGAAGCATAGGTGAATCCAGATGCGGAGGAGCTGAGACCTACAACTACGTCAGCTGGGATGGCGCTTATATTAAAAGTCCTATAGGTTCTGTGCAAGAGTATGAAACTGTTTTCGCATCTGCCTTTTACTGCTACACTTCAAATAGCGTATATAGGCTTGGTCAGGGAAAGAATAGGTCTTTTAGGCGTACCTTTGACTTGTGTAGGATCAAATTGCATACAGTCTTCGATTTGAGGTGCGATTCTTCTTGGACCCCTAGCTTGCTCGATGCTAGCGTTTTGCTGTAGCTGTACTATGACGTCACTTGGGCTCTCGTGGTTGCGTGGGCACACCCTTTGCGAGTTTCTACTCGCTTCTACGAGTAGTTCATGGTTAATTAGTGCTATGACTGGCTTGAGGGGAAGGTTCTTACTTCGCTTACCTATTTCTATGCCTTCTCTCATGCTTTCGATACCATCCATTTCGCAATAGTTTTCGTCGTCGTTTTCGTCTTCGTCTTCGTCTTCGTCTTCGTCTTCGTCTTCGTCTTCGTCTTCGTCTTCTTCGTCTTCTTCGTCATCCTCCTCCTCTTCATCTTCTTCATCTTCGTTTGTGCTCCCGCCTCTCTTGTTCCTGGAAGACTGCCGACTTCCTTTACGGGTTGGGACACTCCTAGGACCCCGTGTTTCCGATTGCGCCTGCTCCAGAGAGTCGGTACTGGCACTCCGCAACCCTGTTTTGTTGTTCTTATCGCTTTCTTCATGGTTTATTTTCTTCTTGTTCTGGTTTCTGAGTCGCAAGGTTGAATAACGATTTTTTAGAGCTAATGTCGTTCGGTTAGGAGTGTGGAACTTGACAATAGTTGCCCAGTTGGTGCCGTGAGTAAGTACTTCGTGTAAAAGATTCGCATCCTAGTCACTGTTAGTAAGTTTACCCGGTGCCTTGCTTTACTAGGGTTAAGCGAGAAATATAAGATAGACCCCTCACCTCTTCTTCGGACCAATCACAGTAGTTGATATTAGGATTCAAAACTTGGCTCCAATGACTCGAACACTGGTCTGAGCTTCTGAACCCCACGTCCTTGGCGATCTTACTCCAGTTTGTCCCATACTTATGGACTGCGGCAATCAATCGTTCGTCCTCTTCCTCTGACCAGGGTCCTCTAATGTAACTGTTCGCAAGACAATTCCACCATCTCCGACGACAGTCCTTATTCGACCGGTTTGGGACAGACTTTGCTAGTTCACGCCAAAGTAGAGGTCTATGTTGGTCTTCGGCTATCTCACATGAAAGTCAGATATGCTACTCAGTATGTGCTTAAGGCGGGCTTATAATCATACCTCTATGGACAGCGGCGCGCAGGAGTTCATCCTCTTGAGCTGTCCAGTTTCGTCTAGTGCGTGACATGATGTACAGGGTCTAGAATTAGGGTATATTTGCAGAGAGTTTGTAGATGCTTGGCCAAGGTATAGTATATCAAGATTAACTTTAGAACAATAAAAACCTAAGATAAGGTGATGACAAGAAGTGTTTAAATGAAAGCCTGTTGGTATGTACAGTCTCCTTTGCGTATTCCTAGTATTTAGACCGCTTAGTGAAGCTGCTGACGTTTATATGATAACAGCTTACGTGTCCTGGATATATTAGTGCCTAGTTGTTTGTTACTACGGAAAACCACGCATCGGCTAAAACAGCTAACCTGGTACAGCAGGTGGGACGAACAATGATCGTACATAGAATGTCACGAAGGGCGGAAATGATAGTATGATGACACGGTCGTAACCAAGGTAGTTAGAGGAGTAGTCTACTACACCGTAAGGGGGAATATAGGGTAGTAATATATTAACCACCCCTCTTAATATTCAATCAGAACAATCTTTAAAACTTTTATAACTGAATACAATAACCTTAGAATATCTAAATATATTGGATTAAGCGATCTTTGTGTAAGTACTAAGAGACTTTACTGTAATGATTAATAATATAATTAACATACAAGTTTTTAAAAAACTACATATTGCTAAATATAGTGAAGGTTTAGTTATAGTTTTATACCTTAATATCTACTTGGATTTTTATGCTATTACTAAAGATACTTTAATGAAACAAATCATCTTTATTTATAATAAATAATAATAAGAACTAAACATAGTCTACTTTATTATTACTAGAAATACGTTGTATGAATTTCTATTTTTTAATAGTTTCTATTCTAACTATATAGATCTTCTAACATAATAAATGCCTCCATAGTTAAACTAAGGGAAGATAATTTTATTGAAAAAGTTTTAAAAATCTAGTATATACAAGATGTAAGAGGCTACGCCTAAAGTGTGTGATCGAGTATATCTATACGACTACCTGGACTTCAAGAAGCTTGAAGTCTTGTTACTGCCTTTTTGGCTATGGATGGCGTAAGTAGTCGTACGCTCGGCCCGTTGGGCCCGCCCATTACACAAGATAGTAAGCCTAATATCCTATCTTAAGAAAATAGTATAGCTACAATTGTAGAAAAATTTGAAAGATTTAAAAAAAAGAAAAGCTTAAAAGAATGATTCTGAAGTTAAACCCCTTTTAGGCACTGTGGTAGGTTGTAATAATAGCTCGCGTGGCGAATAGGTCTCTACCTAAGGATCTCTTTTTCTATACAGAGGTGGCTTTCAAAAGTTCTTGCTAACAGGGGTTCCTTGGTTACCACCGAAAATATAGCCGAAGACTAAGAATTATACTATATTCGCAACTAAAAGCCCTTAAAATGGAAGTTTGGAGAGAATAATAGCTACTAAAGTATACACTTATAGTAATACAATAACTATATTAGGCATTATTTCTTGCACGCTAAGTAAATAATGGAAACGTTATCACGAGAATTCGGTCCGATGGATCCGCGCCTTAGCAAGAACTTTTGAAAGCCACCTCTGTAATATCTCTTCCAATACTAGACCTTGTTATAGAATTAATAAGTTATTTTATAGCTTTGTTATAAGCCTATAGCTTGCTAATAGATAGTTATACCTCTTTAGGCTAGTAGGTAGAGACCTAAATCTCTATAAGGTAGATAGGCTAATTTCCTTTTATTTACCATAGCGAGCGTGTTATATTATATCAATAAGTTATAGGCTTATAGCAAGGCTATAAAATCACTTATTAAATACTTAATTAGGCCTAGTATTAAGAGAGATATTAAAGAGAGATCTCAAGGTGGAGACCTGCTCGCCTCGCTAGCAATGGCTAAATGAAAGCAGGTCCTATAGTGCCGAAGAAGATACGATTTTTTACCCTTTCCTTGTTTGGCTTAATCTTCGTATTTGGAACTTCTAATAATCCTGGTTCAATATTACCTTAAACAGGAATGATCCCTATGCATTTGAAAGCTTGATCCCTATGTCGTGAACTCGATATCACCCTTGTTTGATATTCCTTTGAAACTAGGGACTGCATAATATTATGCCCGAAGTTTAGCCGCGTGAGTTTCAAATGGCGCTAGCGCAGTGTGACAGCGAATGACAGTTTCATGTGACTACCGACTCGTCCGCGATAACGTAATTAGGATGCATTAGTGATGATTTCACAATCACAATCTCAATGCGCATTGTTCTAATGTAGCTAGCAAGTTACTATAGCAAATCTACAAGTCGTGTCCTCTAAATTATCCGCCGCCATTTCAGTAACGATTCAGTATAGCTTATCAACTACTATAGTAAGTCTATGTACTATATTCTCCACATTATCCGCAACTCCTTATGTAAAATTTGAACAGTCTGTACTAACATACTGTAGAGGTGTGGAGTGGAACTGCGATGTCTTCTCAGTAGGTGGAACAGAACAGTAGGCTCTTCCCCTTCGCCTTAAGTGCTAGGAGAAGGGAGAGAGAGTAAACCATAAGAAGTTATATCTTTTTAAGCAAGAGATTTTTCTAAGAGATGTTATTAATTAATTTTTCCTATAGACCTAGCTACTAATTTATCTTCTTAAGGGAGTGAGCAGTGCGTAGATAGCACAAGGGTCACAGTGACCCTGTGCCTCGGCACAATACTAGATTTAGCTTGATATATTCTACTAATATTAGAATGCAAACTAAATAACTAGCGCCTATTTAGCTTCTGTTATCTATAATTAAGAAAATAATCTTCCCTCTCTTTTCCTCCAATAAAAATCTATAATACCCTTTATATCTTATATTTATAGTATGAAGTTCTGTATTCTAGAGAATTCTATTACTCAAATAGGTCTTTGTTTTATTCATCGTCTAGACTATTTAATAAGGTAGGATACGAAAGGTAAGTCTTTGACCTTTCTACATGTTATCTAAATTAATCAGAAGTAGCTTATTTTGAACGTAAAATTTAGCATTAAAACTTACTTATATATAACTAAGCTTAATTACTAGTATTAATAGTAGTAAAGTAAAAAATGTAACGTATTCCATCACCAAGCGGGCCACATCACCGAGTGTGCCACTTTTTCTTAGCATCACGAACTTCATGTACGAAAACTTAGATTACTCTACACTAGCTATAGATGCTTTATACAACTTACTTGTATCTAAAAGAGAATCTTCTTCTATATCTTTCTAGCACGTACAAGAGTTATAGCCTATCCTCCTATAGGTTCTATAGTGCTATTAACCTAGTAGGGCCCTTTCTTAACTACCCTTACTACGTGCCTTATTTGATGTTGTACGACTAGCAGAACTACTTTTAGCTACCTGCGATGCCCCTACACTAAAGTCTAGTGTCCTACTTATCTAAACTTGCTTTCTTTTGCGCCCTTGGCGCTTTGTTACTGCTACTAATTGCTCTTTAAGCTCTCTTACGTAGGCCTTTATAAGCACATTCTTATATAGCATCTCCTTAGCCTCTTTAATAAGCTTTAAAAAGCCTTCTTATAATAGTAGTTAGTAATTATATAAAAGACTGTCTTATAAGCTTTAATTATAACCTAAATTTATATAAATTACTTAGTGTTCTTAATATCTAAAGTATTTTTAGCTAAGCTTCTTATAGTAGAGTATAACGGCGTACATTAAGGCAATTAATAACTTTTTGCGCGTTAATAGGGACTAGCCCTACTACCTTAAAGGCCTTCTTATAGTTATTAGATATAAATACGTTAAAAAACGCGTTTTATTATTATTATTATTATTATTATTATTCTAGTTTAACGTCCTTTTTTAGCCTAAAGGGCTATATAAGACGTGTAGGGTTTTTAGGCCTACAAGTATCTAAGTAGGTTGTTTCTAGCTATAATATTTAGAAGGGGTTTTAACTAAATAAAGGTGAGGCTCGTAGCCTATTAGTTAGTAGGTAGGAGGTGGGATAGGGTGGGGGAGGTGTATAGCTACCTGTTACAGGTATTAATCCTCGTTTTCTGTGTTTCCCTTGTACCAGGCTTGTGTTCTAGCCTTTGTTTCTTAAATAAAGGTAATAGTTGCTTCTATACCCTCTTTTGTTTAAAAGAGGATAGGTAGTAATAGATCGCCTTCGCAGGCTTCTCTTAGTCCTTTCCTTTCCTCTCTATATAGATTGCATCTAAATAGAATATGAGGTAGGTCTTGTATAGACCTATAGTTGCAGGGGCAACTATTAGAATCCACTTTCCCTCTCTTATATAGGTAGTCCCTTAGGTAACAGTGCCCTAGTTTAAGTTAGTAGAAAGCGCTAGAAATCTCTCTTCTAGTATTGCTAGGAATAGCGATTTGCTTTCTTATCTTCCACTTGTATTTTGCTGCGTACGTATGTGGATTCTTGCTAGTGGCTTTTTTCCTATACTGTTCAAGTTAGCTTAGCCATTCTCTCTCTCCTAGCTGCTTAATTCGCGAGCTAGTAATAGCTAGGCTAGTTTTGCTAGTAGAAGGAGGGTCTAGCTTAGTAGCTTCTTTAGCTAGGGCGTCTGCTTTTTCGTTCCTAGGGATATCTTGGTGGCCTGGTACCTAGTAAAGGCTAGGGCGTATACCTATCTCCTCTAGTTTCTTTGTTGCCTTTATACATCTAATTTGCCATTCTTAGCCTAGATTATTAGAAGCAGTCTTTAACCTAAGTAGAGCAGCTTAATTATCTGCATATATTTTTATATCTAAACAGTTCTCTGCTAGCTCTATTGCTTTTTCTAGCCCTAGGGTAATACCTTCTAGTTCACCGTTGTAAACTAGTTAGTTATTTC